TGCACTCACAAGAAGATTTAAATTTGGACATTATAGGTCACTTTGAAAAGTCAACAAAAACACCTTTTTTGTCAAAGCTTCATACATGAACATGGAAGACTCGATTGAGATGATACCAAAAGGGATGCTTATAGGACATCTTGAGCTTTCTAAAAAGTCCAAGAACATATCTCTAGGGTCAAAATTGAGGAAGTTATATATTGGTGAAGTTGACCTTTTTTGCAAAATTGCCAAAAGTCAAATATGTTTCAAATTGCAATTTTTGTCAAATGGGCCCAACTTTTTGTCTTGCATTGAGTTGACAACATGATCCAAGACCCATGATCCATCCCACTTGCCTTTATTTTATTTTTGTCATTTATTTTGATTTTTATTTCATTTAAATCAAAATAAAATCATGAAAATATCAACATCATTTAAACCTTGAGATTTTATGCATATTTCAGGTCCATGAATAGCTGGCAATGGGATCAAATCGTGCAAGGCTGGTTTGTACACAAAAATATTGAGTTTTGCTTGATTTAGAAAGATTTGAATAAGAATCAAATCATGATTCAATCATATTAGTTGAAAAAGATTTGGAGCAAATTTGTAAGCCTAATTCACTCAAGGATACATATAGAACATTTGCAGACCAAAAGCACAAGGGTTAGAGGCGTGAGAAGCTGAAAAAGAATTTGCAAAAACTCAAGAAAAGTGGCAATCTGATTTCATAGTTCCAGGCACTTTCAAGCCATTCCAAGTACGCCATTCACTTGCTGTACATTCAAGGAGTCTATCCCAATCATTAGCAAGCGCGTTCGTGCCCAGAAACGCACTGTAAGCACCTCACGATATCCTTACTTTCTTGAAATTCAATATCACTATTCTGGCATTTATAGCATGAATTCTTTACATAGTCTTGTTCAGTGAAACATTTGCAAGCTAATGATAATATTCAATTGTGTTTTCGTTAGCCATACAGAGAGCTGCCATGATTAGGGTTTAGGTTTCGTTTTTAGGGGTTTTGATTGCAGGTACAATTGGCCATGAAGAGTGGTACCATGATGCTCGTGAGGTTGCCACGAGTTGATTGGTACCACTAGAATTGATTTCTCATGCGTGCGGTAGATTTTGGAAAACACAGGGGCTATACCTACAGAGAACGTTTGTAGGTAAAAGTTGTTTTACCTAAGACGACGGATGCTGGAGAAGATGATGGCGTGGCGTGGCCTGACTGGCCCATTCAAATTTCGCGCGTTTCCAGAATCCACTTTTGGTCTTTATCATATTATGCTTATTTGTTATTTTACTAACACAAAAACACGCCAACTCAGTTGGTCAGTGGGAGAGAGAAAAATCCAAAGGGCCTGGGTTCGATCCCAGGTCCCAGCAAAACGCTATTTTCTTATTTTTCTTGTTACGGATTCAGTGCACCCTTGGCCCAAGTGTCTCACCATATGCCATCAGCTTTCAGCCATTGGATCTAAAGCAAACCAAATCCAACGCCTGGCACATGAAGGTCTACCATAGGCCAGGTCAAACATGCAACATGGAATCAGAAAGGTCAACATTGGACCAAGGCGTATTGGGCTTAAAAGTGAGATTGACACCCCCATTTTGCTTTTGATACCAGGCCCTTTTTCTTTTCTTTTATATTTTCCTTTTACTTATTTATTTTTATTTAAATTATTTTCTAACATAAAAATTAATTCTTTTTTTACAAAACTCATAAAATCAATTTCATCAAATTAGAATTTAGGTTTTTTATATATTTTGTCAAAATTAATTTAATTAGCTTAATTTAATTCTAGGACAATTTTAACCTTTTGTAAATAATTTAAAAATAAATTAGAAAATTAGGGTTGGTTGATTTAATTTTTGTTTTCTTTTCTTAAAAATAACCAAAATATAAAAATAGGTCAAATTGTTTATTTTTCTTAATTTAAATTAATTAGTAATTAGGTTTGTGTTTATTTAATTAAAATCTTATTTTTCTCAAAAATAATCAAAAACAACAAAAAATGACATTTCTTCTAATTAGGTCTAAACGGGGTCAAAACCCTAATTTTTTTCTCGTTCTCGGTTCATCGCGCATTTATTATTTTTTGCAAATATTAATGTAACTGCTCATGGGATGTAATAGTTTAATTAGGACTTTTCGCTTATTTATAGTTTTGCGGGTTTTTGGCTATGTAATTAATCCTCCTCCCTGAAGCCTTGTAATAGCGTAGTTTTATTTTCCGTATTTTAATTTTTGCAAATATTAACTGTTAGATGTATGATAATAGGATTGCATGACAAGAATGTATGTTAATTTCAAAATGGTTAGCAAACCCTAAATGTGCAAAGATAATAATTGAAATCAAATCACTCGCACATGCGCACTCCTAGGGTATACTCTCACTTCGGTTGCCTTCGGTAAATGATCATTAAGTATAGGGTATTTTAGTGGTCACTCTCTTGTCTAAACAAAGATCAAAAGTCCCGCTCGGAAAAGTTGCCTCGAAAATGTTGCCTCGAATATGATCTTAAGACATTAGGGTTATTACTAAGACGTCCTAACGTTGCTTTAGTGATCGTACGTCCCTTTTCGAATTGACCCTTACAATTCCAACGACGATGCTACCTACTCATTAATAGTGGGATAGTGTTGTCTAAAGGAAGCAAGAATAGAAACATTCTTTTTTCGAGTAGGTAGATACTAGTAGGTACTTGCTCATAATAAACTTTTCACACCATACACTTTTCAAACAAAGTTTTCAAAAACAACTTCGTAACACTCTTGAGGACTGATACAAGGGTTAGAACGAAGTAAAACAAAAACTTTTCAAAACACACAAACACGGAAGCAATTTTAAAATGATGAGCAAGTACCTAAGAGCCCATGGAAAATCACGGATATAAAGGGTGCTAATACCTTCCCTTTCTATAATCTACCCCCCCGTACTCAAAATCTCAAAAAAAGGAATTTTTTTGTGCTTTTTTTCCTTTCCAGTTGGATAAAATAAAAGTCGGTGGCGACTCTTGCTTACCGCGACATTTTGCGAATACAAAACGCAAAACGCAAACCAGTATTAAACATTCCGGTTCTACCACCGTATCACAGAACTGGCGACTCTGTTGGGGACTAATAAGTGGGGTATACCTTAGGATTAGTTCATAATGAATTGCTTCTCTTGTTTGATTTGATTGATTTACTTTTGAGGGTCTTTGTATTGGGAGTTACTATAGATCCTAACCCGGATCTGGGGACACCTTGTAGGTAAGTAGCAATAGACTGTGAGGGAACTGTACGACGTAGACCGATACGGTTGAAGCAGTAGCTACGTTGATGTAGCACGTTGGTTGGTACAGGTATCCCCTGTGGAGAAACGAGGAGAATACGGGTCCGCTGCATGGTGTCATTAAGCATCAACTGACCTTAGAACCTATAATTGACCAACTTGACCATTACAAGAAAGGGTGTATGAAGCTTGGTGTTTTCGAAACCAAATTTGCTTTGGCAACAATGTTGATAGTTCTAAGATAAGTCATAAAATAGTTGATAATATTGTGTTTAGATGTTGGATGAAACACAATATAAGAAATTTTATAGCTAGGCTGTTATTGCTTTAGGTTGTTTGGATCCTTTGATCGCCTAGTTTTGTATTATTTTTGGTTTTGAAATAAAGTATTTCTTTTTTCAAAAAAAAAAGTGACACAAATCTACTTAATATAAATGTAAAGAAGTCATGATGACAATCCTAACTAAACCCTAGATTATGGGTCAATCTCACAAAAATTTAAACTTATGTGTGAATCTCACAAAAATTTAAGTTTATTTCAAATAAAATAATAATAAAATTGATATAATTATAATATCTTAAAGTTGATATAATTTATGAGTTATGATGATAATAATCTTCATATTTATATTCCAACTCCAATTCCAATAATAAATTAAAAAATAAAACTCATAAAACTCTTCGTACTTTTTATTTTAATTCAAAAAAGAAAAAATGATTTAGTCCTTAAGCAAACACTATATTTATTCCGTAAACTATCCCTCGTTTCAAATTAGTCCATAATGAACTACACTATATTTATTTGCAATAAAGATCATCGATATTCAATTCTGCACACCCGACATTCTGTGATACCAGGGCATTAAACCTCCTGTCCCAGGTCGTGCAATGGGAAATCCTCCAGTGCTGGTATTTCCTTGAATACCATAAACACGGGTGTTTCTCATACTAGCAGTAGCACCTGGACGCAATCCAAGATTCTTTTCGGCCTCCGAATGGATTTCAGATATGGTTTTGGCCTTCGTCCACATACAGATAGAGTTAAACATTAATACTTTGATATATAAAAAATAAAAGGTTAATAGCTAATTTGCCTCGTATCATTTGGACGAGTTTTAAAAAAATAAATTAGATTCTCATCCTGACATATAAGGATTTCAATGTTTTAGTTTTTCATTAAACCAAGTCATCCAAGCTAACAAAAACCAAAAGAAGACAAAGAGCCCCTCCAAGATAAGTCTATTGGTTCCTGCAAAAATAATGGACTTTAGTTCTTAAAGAAATCCCATTAACATAGCAAGAGAAGTTGAGGATGAAAGTATTGAAGAATTAGATAGGTCAGATCCTAATGATAGTGATAATGAAAAGTACATTAAGTATGAGAAGTTCAGAGGTGAGTTAATGAAAATGTGATTTTTTAGCATTGTGTAGTAAAGTGGATGAGAGACATACATACCAATTAAAAACTATGTATTATGTACTGTCATACCTATTTGTAATATCATTTTGGAACAACTATAAATCAATAATATAGCAAGTCAGATTCAATTCAATTCAACCATAAATCATAATAAAGCAAGTAAAATTCACATCAATTCAATTCAACCATAATTCATTATGCATTGTAAACTAACTGAGATATATTGACAACAATGCTTGTTTTTCTCATTCATTTCAAATAAACCATTTTGTTAACATAAGTACTACAACTACAACATAAGTACAATACAACACTCAGGCTGTTAAAACTATGACAAAGTAAACCCAAGAACAAATAAGTAGTACAACTAGAAAAGCCAATTTCTTCCTTGTGCTCTCTAACATGTTCTTCATATCTTCCATATCCTTCGAACAGAGTTTTGACCCAAATTCTCTTCCAAATTCCATCCCAAAATCTCGGCCAAATTTTCTCAAATACTCTATCATCACATCACATCTATTGCATCCATCATCGTCTTCTATAAGTCGTTTCCTATCAATTGAGCCAAAGCTTTCAAGTTTCGAGGTGAACTCTTGCTGTTTCAAGGCGATACAATGCTTTAGGGTTCCAAGTTGAAGAGAAGAAGACGACACCAATTTGGGATTTAGGGTTTTGGAAAGAATGTCTTTAAATGATAAACAAGTTTTAATTATAATAAATAAATGACATGTGGATATTAATTATATTTAATTTAAATAGTATATGACAACATTACAATGCCACAATAGCTTATTGGATGACTTGGTTTAATAATGAAGGAGTTAAACAGTGAAACCTTTATATGTTAGGGTGGGAATCCAAATTTTTTTTACAGGGAGTTTCAAGTCTTGCCCAAATGGCAGGGACAAAGTATCTATTAATCCAAAAACAAACAAATAATTCAACATTTTAATTGAGACATAATGTATCTACATATCAATAAGTTTTGTAAGCTTACCTCTTCAGGTCTAGGGATCCGGTTACTAGCACGCAAATCTATAACATCGTGCACCATGAATCTCATCCTTGGTACAAGTTGGGGATTGGTGCTCAATTCCTTCAATCGGCCAAAATACATATCATTTATACGTCGTGATTTTGGGCTTTCGTCAAGCTGCTTGCCAATAGTGTTGAAAATAAGACATATGGCTTCAACATTTTCCTCAGCTGGACAGACCTTGCTGTCAGAAACTCCCAAAAGCTCCTGTTCATAAAAATCATTCAGTTAACAAGGCAGGCAAGTAAATACTCTCAAAACAATAAGAAATTACAAAAAAAGAGTCAAGTCATAAGTTTTGATATAACCTGAACAATGTGATGGATAATCTTTTCAGGAACCATATTTTGCTTCCACAACTCACCAATTAAACGGATGTTTCCAAGGGTACGAATCTTGACAACTCTTTCCATGACATGTCGATCCAACTCTTGCTCAGGGGAAGTCATCTGCGCCAATTCTTCCCTCAGTTTACCAGCGCCTTCAAAAGCTTCCTGGCAGTTATTCAAGAGTACTCTCTTAAAAGTTATTTCTTTGCCATCAGGTTCTTCAGATGGGAACGGAGGCAGCTTGTCGTTCAGAACAGAACACAGTTGCGCATACATGGGGCAGAATGTTGGTTCAAATACTGCCTTATCAAATATCAGTGAAACAGCTCCCTTCAATTGCAAAGAAAAACTTTATCTAATCTCAGTGAAATAATACCATGCAGTTACAAAGAAAAAACAGTTGAGAACACAACTAACAGGATACAAAGAAAAATATATTTCAAAAAATAAAGAACCTTGAATATATCAGCCGATGTAATGCCAGAATCGTTCAACTGACCCTTAAAAAGATCAAAATTTTCTGGAGTCAACTTATTCAGTATTCTGCATAAAAGTAGTTAACAGCACTTAGAAAAGCAGTCACATGCAAGGTAGTCAGACTCGAGATCTTATGAAACATCGTAAATCAGGGGGTCCCAACACGGATCATAAAATCCTACCAAATTTATGAATTCATATATATGAAGCAACATAATTTAGTAGGAAAAAAACTTAAAATAACAGTAAAATTACTTTAAAAAACTGAAATTTCAGATGATAATATTCATAGAAACTAAAGCAAGACCATTCAAAATAGTAGCAAATAACAATTAAAAAATTCTAAAAAAACTTAATGATAATTCACTCAATTCTCAGTCCGTCCATCAGTCATTATGGTGCAACCCGTGTTGCTCTATTAAGATGATGTCTTAAAATCATATCACATATAATAGTGAACTTCTTACTAATTGCTACAATGAATGGTATGCCATTGATGTTAAAAAAAAAAAACCTTGCAATTGCTTGACTTTCAAGCTCTAACTTCTCTTCCTCCACCATCGCTTTTGTTTTTTTTATGAAGTTTGCTTCCAGTCTTGAACAAATTTGAAGTATTTCTCTCTTGATTTCATCTGCGATATGCGTTCCAGCAAAAGAGCTTGAAGCCATTGGAGCCAGGTTGAAACAAAAAGGGTTGTTTTTTGAAGTGAGAAAGAAGATGTAATGAAAGGTTGTTTTTAAAGTGAGAGAGAAGATAATTGGTGTATTTAACTTGAGAGAGATAGAGTAAACAGGAGGGAAGTTGCATAAATCAGGGTATTGATTACTGATTGCTGGATAGAAAAGACACTTAATTGCTTTCGTTACAACCCCAACTTTGATCTTCACCAAAAACTTGAGCGTCTATATCATACCTGAGCTTCAAAATATCTTCAGGGCAGTGGCGGAAGTAAGGACTAGCTAACTTTGGAGATTGGTAAAGGCACCAAACACAAAAGGCAGGGAATCCATTTCCGAAAGAAAAAATGTTGAGGGGGCCACATACTAAAAACAATATAAAATAAAAATTACGACAGGCAAGACTCTCTTAAAAGATTAATAACCAAAAAATTTATGAGTATAAAAGAGAGAAAAAAATTAATAACCAAAAAATTTAAAAAATAAATGTAAAGTGTTGAAGCAGATACTGTTTAATAGAGTGGAAGTACCTTTATCTTTTGAAACAAAGTTATGTATTTAGAAGTTATATAATTTTGTTTGAGTGTATCAATTTATGACCTTTATTGTATTATCTTACACGTTTTGGATTCACGTTTGGTAACTGCTACAATCTGTTTTACACTAGCAGACTAACCTCTATCAAAAGTGTATTCTCATTTATTTAATTCTAGAAAGTTGTATCACTCTAAAATATAATTAAATATGTACGGTTATACCTTGCTCATTTGCATATGGTACATGTTAAGTATCAGATTTGAATTGCAAATATTTTCTGCACTTTGCTTTCATACTGTAATCTTATGAATTTAATTAGTTGTTTTTAGTTTTTTCTTGTTGTGTCACGTTTTGCTACTCCTTTTATTTTCAAAGAAAGCTAATGTTATTTGGTCTTATCCAGGTAATTATAAATGTAATGTTTATTATGAATAATTTTATAAATTTTATATGAAAAGCAAATTTGTTCTATCAGTATTTTTGAATATGTCATTAATTTTGTGATTCTTACCTATATAATATTCATGTTCATTTTCCTCCGGTCAATTTTGTAAGATAATTTAGGCCGTGCCTTTTCATTCATGTGATAGTCATTTATATACACAGTACAAATATGTGGTTATGATTCTAATAATCATTGGTAATCAATACTAATAATAATCTTTCTATATTTACATATCTAATACACCCCCGTAGTCGAAACTGGAGGTGAACGAATGTTGAGACTATCACGAAAGTCATCAAAGAGTTGCAACGGAAGTCCCTTTGTGAAGATGTCAGCAATCTGAAAACGCGAGGGAATGTGAAGAACGCGTACTTGACCGCAAGCAACTTTCTCACGCACGAAATGTATATCCATTTCAATATGTTTGGTGCGTTGATGTTGAACAGGATTGTCGGAAAGATAAACCGCGCTGATGTTGTCACAATATACCAGAGTAGCTTTTGTGACAGGACAACATAGTTCCAAGAGTAAGTTGCGTAACCAACATGATTCAGACACAACATTAGCTACGCCTCTATATTCGGCTTCGGCACTTGAACGAGACAAGGTATGTTGGCGTTTTGCGGACCATGAGATCAAGTTGTCTCCGAGATAAACACAGTAGCCGGAGGTAGATCTTCTTGTGTCAGGACAACCGGCCCAATCTGCGTCTGTGTAAGAAATGAGCTTGTCGACAGATGAAGGGTACAGATGAAGGTCGAGATCTACGGTACCATTAACGTAACGAATAATGCGTTTCAAGGCAGACATGTGTTGAGTTTTTGGATCATGCATAAATAAACATACCTGCTGAACTGCATATGAGATGTCTAGTCGAGTGAATGTTAAGTATTGCAATGCTCCGACAAGGCTGCGATATTCGGTTGGATCATGGTAAGGGTTACCGGATGAACCACTGAGTTTCGCCTTTGTGTCTACTGGTGTGGGGGATGGTTTGCAGGAGGACATACCAGCTCGTTCGATAATTTCTTCTGCATATTTCTTTTGAGAAAGAAAAAGGCCTTCGGGATGTTTGGTGACAGAAATACCCAGAAAATAACTTAAAGGCCCCAGATCCTTCATGGAGAATTCGGAACTCAATTGTGCCATGATAGATTCTCTAAGAGTGTCAGATGATGCAGTAAGAATAATGTCATCCACATACAAAAGAATATAAGCTATATCATTGCCATGATGATATATAAAAAGAGAGTGGTCAGAAATACTGTGAGAGAAGTCCATTGTAGCTACATAATCAGTAAAGCGCTGGTACCAGACGCGAGGTGCTTGTTTGAGACCATATAGAGATTTCTTCAATAAACAGACATGATCAGGAAATTGAGAATGACGAAATCCAGGAGGTTGATGCATGTATACGGTTTCATGAAGGTTCCCATGCAAGAAAGCATTTTTAACATCTAATTGATGAAGACACCATGATTTAGATAAAGCAACACTTAGAACCGTTCGAATGGTAGCCGGTTTGACCACCGGGCTGAATGTGTCACCACAATCAATACCTGTTTGTTGATTTGCACCATTACCTACAAGGCGAGCTTTGTATCTCTCAAAAGATCCGTCAGATTTCTTTTTATGCCTGAAAATCCACAAACTTCGAATAACATTAGCATTAGACGGACGAGGAACTAAGTCCCACGTCTTATTTTCAATAAGAGCATCATATTCGTCTTTCATGGCCATTTTCCAATTTTGATCATTTAATGCATCAATGAGATTTGTAGGTAGAGGGGATATGGAGGTTGAGGTTGATGTATGGAGATTGAAGAGTTTGCGAGGTTTGACGATACCGTGTTGGGCTCTGGTTGTCATTTGAGGGGAGAGGGGCTGATTTTGTTGTGAAGGTGGAGGAGTCGGAAGTGATGTAGTGGATGGGGATGAGACGATATTTGGTAATGATGGGTTTAGAGGTGATGTTGTGGATGGGGCTGATGTTATGGTTGGTGAGGTGGGATTGTGTGAGGGTGACGAAGGCGAATTCAAAGAAGATGGTGATGGTTGGTAAATGTTTGTTTGAACTGGTGTAGTTAGGGGTAAAGTGCGATTTTGATGGTTAGAGGAGGGAGCATTATAGGAATAGGATGGAAGGAAGGGTGTGTCGTCATCCAAAAAGTTATAACCAACCGTTGTAGGAACATTTGGATTAGAAAACGGAAGCTTAGTTTCATCAAAAATGACATGCCGGGAAATAAATATTTTACGGCTAGATAAATCATAGCATTTATATCCTCTATGATTTGAGGGATATCCTAAGAAGACACAAGGTGTAGACCGAGCTTGTAACTTATTTCTATATGATGAAGGGATGAGAGGATAGCAAAGACATCCAAAGACACGAAGGTGAGTATAGGCCGGATCTTTTTGGTAGAGTATTTTAGTGGGTGATTGAAGGGAAAGCTTTTTATTTGGAAGGATATTATGTAGGTAAGTGGCCATGTGTAGTGCATGATGCCACATTGATGGAGGTAAAGAGGCATGGGCGAGAAGGGTACGGATGATGTTGTTTATGGTACGAATTTTTCTTTCGGCTTTTCCATTTTGTGAGGAGGTGTGAGGACACGAAAATCTAAAAGACATTCCATTTTTTTTACAAAAATTATGAAACATAGTGTTATCATATTCTTTGCCATTGTCACATTGGAAACATTTAATTTTTCTTTCAAATTGTGTTTCAATGTGAGTTCTAAATTGAAGAAAAATGGAATGAACCTGAGATTTTGTATGAATTGGAAAAGTCCATAAAAAATTTGTGTAATCGTCAAGAAATAACACATAGTAACGATGACCTTCTGAACTAAGAATTGGTGAAGTCCAGAGGTTGCTGTGCACAATATCAAAAGGCATAAAAGTGCGAGACACAGAGCTATAAAAGGGAAATTTTATTTGTTTTCCAAGAGGGCATGAATTACAAAAGTAATTGTTCCGAGACTTATTACATTGGAGAAAGTTGTCTCTATGTAGAGAACTTAAGATAGTAGCTCCTGGATGTCCTAAACGGTTGTGCCATAATTCTGTGGTTATTGCGGCAAAGGTGGATGGTGGTAAGGTTTTATTAGGTGGTCTTGTGGCAATGGGATAGAGGTCACCAGAACTGTTACATCTCATTAACAGTATTCCTGTCTGAAAATCCTTCACAGAAAAACCAAAAGGATCAAATTCAACCGACACATCATTATCTATGGTAAATTTACGAACAGAGATAATATTTTTTATGAGTTTTGGTGCATGTAAAACATTAGGTAATTTTAGTAAATGAAGGGAATTTGGTAATGATGCATGTCCATAACCAATTACAGGAATATTTTGACCACTACCGACAGTAATATTATTACTCATATTGAAATAGGACGAGAGATTACCTTCGTTGGCCGTCATATGCGAGGTTGCTCCGGTGTCCATGTACCACTGATCATCAGGAGTAGAAAGTGAGAGAGTATGCATGGCAGCTTGAATATCTGTTGGAGCATATGAGGAGGTTGGCGCTGTGTTGGCGACATAAGCTTGATTTGGAGCATATGAGGAGGTTGGCGCTGTGTTGGCGACATAAGCTTGATGAGATGGCTTGGGACCAAGGATGCCGGGTTGTTCCTTTGGATTTCTTGCTGTTGGATATGGACAAGGTGGTGTAGCCCATGGTTGCCATGGCGGGGAGCTCCATTGTTGATATTGATTTGGGTATGGTGGATAAGCCCACTGCTGATGCGGGTAATATGGTGAAGGCCATTGCTGTTGTGGAGCACGACCTCCGCCACGTCCATTGTTTCGCCCTCGGCCTCGTCCACGCTGTCCTCTGCCATTGTTTCGGCCACCACAGTTGTGGTTACTGTTGTTACCGCGGTTAGGACGGGATGCCGATGAATTAACTGATGCGTCATTGTGAGACGCCATGAAAGATGAATTTTCGACTGAGCTTGACACCTTTTTCTGCAGTGCTGTTTCTTCCAAAATGATC